TACTTTATAAGCAACAGAAAATACAAAATGGGAGCTGGTAGAGCTGAGTTTAGAGCATGCCACAAGCCTGGACTCCTGACCTTTTGTCCCCAGCTCACAACGCTGCTCTGCATGATACCCGGAGTTCTTGCCATGGGTGGAGACAGGGAGCTGGCTGGCTCCACACGTCTGCATTCCTACTTGCTGTCCCAAAGTCCCAACTGCCTGCTCCCTGCTGACGTTGTGCCCTCATTGCTAAGTCTGGGTTGGCACAGGATAGAGGGACTCCAAGGCTGAGGAGCTGAGAATTCTTCCTGGCCGGTGGGAGAGCCAGATAGCACAGTGAGATGCTGGCATGCTAAAAAGAGGGCGTGCTATTTTGAGAATCTGTTCAAGTAAGTTTCACAGTGGAAAAACCACGGAAAAACCATGACCTGACAGGAGTTATGGCTCAGGAATGCATGCTCCAGGTTTCTATTTTTTATTGCTACATCTTGCATTTTTAACCTAAAAAAACTGGCCCCTAGAAAATGGATAAAAGACATGTGAAGACTGTAAAATAGCATAGATCAAGATTGGAGGTCAATTTATGAAACAGACCATGCTACATCTCCGTAAGGAATACCATGCAGGTATTCAAATGATATTATAAAACTTTAATTGTCTACCAAGAAATACGTTCAAGTTGCATTTTTCTGTACAAAGAGATGATTATGAACAGAGTATATAGACACTTGTGGCACTATCTTATAAAATATATGAATGTGTAGATCTACATAGAAAGTTTGGAAGTGTCTACCTTTGTATTTAATAAACTTTTTACACAAAGCTTTATGTCCATGTCACCAGGAAAAAATGAAGCAATTTCTATTTTGCAGAAAAAAGAAGGTGATCAATTGGGCCTCTGACCAAATGATTAAGAGAAATCCTATAGGATAAGGGTTAAGTAAGAAAGGGCCAAAGTCCTTAGCTCATCAATCTTTGTTTTTTTTTTTTCCCCTCAATTTTTCCCTGAATCAATGCCTAAATATTGATTCATTTAAACCATATAGCAGTTCAAGTAAATAGTAGGAAAGAGATAGTCTGTTTCATTAATACTTTGAAAGTTAAAAGAATACATTAAATATCATGGAGCTAGGATATGGATTACAAAGTTTTTGATGGGTGGTAGGGGTTGAATTGTGAGCCTGGATGGTTTCTCTCTTGACCCTGGTGTGGGAATGTATGACTGTATGATCAATGTTGGGGGGGGGCGGGGGGAAGTACAAGTATTTTAGTATAGGATGACTTTTGAGTTTGGAAACCTGGTACAATCAATTGAAAAGATACAATTTTGGGGGCCTTCCTGGTGGCACAAGGGGTTAAGTCTCAGCACTATGAAGCTATCTGCAGCCACTGCAGCACAAGTTCAATCCATGGCCAGGGAGCTGACTCACATGGTGCACCAGACCTCTCCTGTCTCACCCGCTGCTCCCCTTAGCAGTGTATTTCAGTCAATCCGTCTGTTCTGCTCCCCACTCTGTCTCTGGTGAATCCTCTTACCTCCTGCACCTCTGGCCTACACCCCAGCTCTTGTATGCATAAAAAAATAAATCTTTTAAAAAAGAATTTTTTCCTGAGACCAGAAAATTAAATCTTCAAGCTCATTCTTATGTCTACTAACTTATTAGGTTTTCTCATCAGTGTAGCACTGCAGTTAGCATTAGGATCTTAAGTCAGGCTTGAATTCCAGCTCGGATCCTTCTTAGCTGTGTGAATATGGACACATTTCATGACCTTTCAGGAACTTAGTTTCTTCATCTGTGTGCTGTGGATGATCATCATTGCATGAGAAGCATGATGTAATAGTTCCAGAATGTTTATAGCATGGGTTTAGAGCAATGGTGTGGTTGGAAAAAGACATGAAGAGATTTGTTTAGGAGTTGTCTTTGCAGAGTAAGCACAATTTTTTTTCCTCAGTTCATTTATTCTGAGGTCTTGATGAAGATTGGCTGACCACCGAAGGCCACCCAATCTACCCATTACTACACCCACTGGGTTGTGTGCATTTGCTAAGATAAAAGTTTAAAGTCCTTAGCAGCATGCTCGGTTCCTAACAAGGGCTCAATGATGGTCCCTGAATATGCTGTTATTGTATCAGTGCCACAGAGGTGTTCTTAAGAATAACATAGACAAACCATCAAAATGGATTTTCCAAAGGAAAGATGATATCTCTGTCAGGCCAGGTTACTGTAAAAGAGTATCACAGACTGGGTGGCTCATAAATAACAGAAATTTTTCATAGCCCTAGCTACTGGAAGTTCAAGGTCCATCTCTTTCATAATGGACCCAATCTTTCAGGTGACTGAAAAAATCATTTTTGAAATTTTCTTTGAGAAAATGAGGGATTAAGTTATATTTGGGGTCATTTTATTTGGGTGAACTTGGTTTTTCTACTAGGCAGGTAAGTAGTTTAGTTCTCAAGACAGCTTTGAGAGAGAAAGTGATATCTACATTATAATAAAGAATAAATATGTCTCAAGGAAGGGAAGTCATTGTCTAATACTGAATATTCAAACTCAGACTTTTCTATCTAGAACTAAGTCTAGGATACATTCCCGGAAGAAATTTAACACTCCTTAACTGCACACATTTTTAAAAAGCATAACACCTCTATATTTTTTTATGTCAATAATATTTATGTCAAAGCCTCTTTGCAATGCTCTTTCACCTACTTAATTTACTTCTGATTTCATTTCTCCTACAAATGACTCCCAGGCAGTCACAAAAGTCATATGCCAATCTAAGAAATATATTTTTAAAGTTCTCTTGCTTATTCCAACAACAATAAGTCTCTGTACTCCATAAAGTTAAAGAGCTAAGGAAGATATTCGGTATGGAGTAATAAGATAGCAAAATTATTTTTATGAGTTGGAATGACATACTCCTTCTGCCACTCAGGGGACATGATAGGATATTCTTGCTCTACAAAAATGTTTTTACATCATCCTGATATCATGTAGTCTCTACATATAAAAGCTTCTAAAAATAGCCACAATAAATGTTGGGTTGTTTGTTGCCTCTTAAAAATATTTCATAGGGAAAGCTAAAAGAAAGTGTTTTACACATTTTAAAATACAACAGTATAATAATTCCTTTCAAATAGTCTAAGCACTACTGTCTCTTATACTGATTACCCAACCTCCTCCTTATGACAATGGAAAAAATTTTAGTTTGGATTTGCTTGGTTCCTAGGTACAATAATAGTTGAAAAGGTATCTTTATGGATACAGACTAAAAACTTTTCAAATGCAACAGTTCTGACAACATGGTTACAATAATCCGCTCTAAGAACTCCAAGACCAGGCATTTATGCCTCCATCCCCCAAACTCTCCCCACCCCATCACCACCAACCTCCTGTCCCAGCTTCCCAGAGGCAATCTTGTCTAGAAGATTCCTCTGCAACTAGTTCCCAACCAGACCATCTTAAACTGAAGCCATAGTCAGTCAGTAAATTCTACCCACAAATGCATTTCAGTACTTTTATTACATGGACAGACAGAAAAGAACCACCAGACATTTGAAGAAAATCAGAAAAACAAAAGAGAAAACAAGTAGGAAAAATACAATCAGAGGGATGGAGAGATTATACTGGAAATGAAAGTAAAATATATATACACTTAAACTTAATAACCTTAGAGAAAGAGTAGAGGACAATATATCCATGGCGAGGGGGAGAGGAAAACAACAAGAAATCATGAAGATAAAACAGTCAGAAAACAAGATAAAATATTTAACCATTTAAAATGTAACAGCCAAAATAAAATGTAGTTGAGTTAGACAATGAAGTTAAGCAAGTCTCCCAGAATATAGAACAAAATGTGATGACAAAGAGAAGAAAAATGATGATACTTACAGGATCAACTCATGAAGTTTAACAGAAATTCCAAAATGAGAGACAGAGAAAATAGTGTAAAGAAGTTATCAAAGAAGAATATCTACTGAACAGCATGAGTCTCCAGATTTAAAAGAACTACTAAGTCCTCAGTGCAAAATACCAATGCCAAGACACAAATGAAGAAATTTTCAAACATCTGCTAAAAATGAAGCTTCCATATGATCCAGCCATTCCACTCCTAGGTATTTACCCAAAGGACACAGAAACATTAATTCAAAACAGCACCTACATCCCTATGTTTATAGCAGCACTATTTACAATAGCTAAGCTATGGAGACAACCCAAATGCCCAAAAATAGATGACTGGATCAAGAAGATGTGGTCCATATACACCATGGAATATTACTCAGCATTCAAAAAAGATAAACTCATGTCATTTGCAGCAACATGGATGGAGCTGGAAGGGATCATGCTCAGCGAAATAAGCCAGAAAGAAAAAGAAAAATACCGGATGGTCTCACTCATAGCAGGAATCTAGAAAACTTAAATAAGGGACCAGGAAAATGAATAACTATAAGAAAGTGAAAATCAAAATCAACAAACAATTATGAACCAGAGACACTCTCTGGGGGGTGGGGGGCAGGGAGGGGAGGGATTGGGGTCAAAATAAGGGGGTTGCAATTGTATAGGGAATATAAAAATAAAATTTATTTTAAAAAAAGCAAGAAGCACTTTGAAGATGAAGGGGCGGAGGAGAGAGAAGGAAAAGGTGAGGGAGTGGGTGAGCAGGAGGCAGAAGGTAGGCAGAGGCAGCTAGAGGGAGGAGAAGCAGAATACTATTATTCCAGCAAACTCACTGCTGGCCCCCTGCTCTCTTCTACACTCCATTGAGCTGAGTGTCCTAAGTAACTAGATTCAGTTCATGTTTGTTTTGGGCCCTCCCCTCCTCCAGAAACTGGCTTTGAGACCAAAATGACAATGTTAGTAGTTTCAGAGGTGGTTCCAGGAAACCACAAACAGGGACTAGGGAAATATAAGAATATGTCTCAGAAAAGGTCTTATTCCAACATATGGGTTAAAAAAAAAGCAGAGGTAAGAATCTACCCACTTCCATCTGTCACTGATGGAGCACTTCTTACTTACCCCTCTCCTCCTCCGGGGGAGCTCTGCAAGCAGAAAATACTCTTGGGAAAAGAGTCAGCCTCCATTTTCCTTTATAATTGTGCCTGGTTGATTATATGATGTTGACCTCTTCGGCTTGGTCCCAGTGAAATTAAGCATGAAACTGGAACATTTTAAGAGCTTCTGGAACAAAGAAAATAGATGTGAATAAAGCCGCCATCTTGTGAAAGTTTTTAGAAATTATAGACTTTTATGTCTTAAATTAGCTTCAGTTACAGAATTATGTAGCAATTTTGCTTGATAGATGGAGAGTTTACATACTGCCCTGAAACTGTGTTCTCAGAAGACAAGGAAAATTTGTTTAGAGACCACTTAAATTCCTACAACCACAGATACACTAAGAACAAAGAGTATTTTTGGAGATTAGCCAGATGGGGCAAAGGTCTTTAAAATTAAACTATACATGCTCTGATCCTTGTTATTGTAGTTAAAAATGTGAATGAACTTTTGTCATTCTTTTGGCTGCCCAGCGTCTGAACCCCTTCGTATGTTTGGGGAATTCTTGACCTTATGAGTCTTGAGGGGATGCAGAAACAATCTCCCAGTATAAGAATTGAAAGTTCCAAGGGCCTCCCTGGTGGTGCAAGGGGTAAAGACACAGCACTATGAAGCAATCCGCAACCACTGCAGCTCGAGTTCAATCCCCGGCCAAGGAGGTGACCCGCATGGTGCAGCAGACCTCTTCTGACTCGCCCGCTGTATTTCAGTAGATCTGCCTGTTCTGCTCCCTACTCCGTCTCTGGTGAATCCTCTCACTGCCCCTCTTCCCCTGCATCTCTGGCCTGTACCCCAGTTCTTGCATGCATAAATAAATCTTTAAAAAAATAAGAAGAATTGAAAGTTCTAGAGAATCACTTTTCAAGCTTTCTTTGCAGCCAAGCATGGCTCATGACCAAACCTCACCCAATCAGAAGTCCACATCCTAGCATTTGAATGGGGATCTAGACAAGAAGGGACCAGGGAGAATAGACTATTGTTTCCAAATGCAGTAACAATGGCAGCAAGGTGGCAGCGGTGCTGTGCTGACTAACCCAGTTTAGTAATGTGTGAGATTCACAGCTTGAGACATCTAGTGATTTTAAACAGTAACAGTCATGTCCTCAACTTGGCGAGATCTTGGATGTGGTTTGGGCTTGACATCTGAGTTTTTGTTCTCCAGTCTTCTCAGAAATTCTGGAAGTAATCTAATACCTCTAAATAAATTTCAGTTCATACTTCAGTGAGTCAAAGCTGATTCCAGTTAACCATGACCAATAAAATTGTACTGCCTTCTTCAACATTCAGTACGAAGAAGTAGGGTGCTGTTAAAATGTAAAATTGATAATCTTGAGCTTCTGAACTCATAGGAGCATAGTGCTAGTTGGTACTAAGAAAACACATCTTACAAATGCCCGCTTCAGATGTGACCATAGAGAAAAGTAAAACAGGATGATTAGACAGGGAGGCAGAGCCAGGGATCCTAAAGGACATGATAAAGGGGTTTTCCTTGAAGAGTGGAAACAGGGACCATGCAAAGAATTTACTCCTCTCCAAGCAGGCAATCTCACTATTTCTCTGCAGTTGGGGAAATAAAAAATGTGTCATGGAGAAGTGATGGGAAGTTGTTTTCTGGTCTTGCTCTTTTCTAATCAGACTGTATAGTGTGGTTCATTGCCGGACCACGAAGAGTAAATATAGTCACGGATGAGATGAGACAACTGATCATTTGCCTAACCGTTTCTGGCTTCTATGAGCCTGAGGCTTTAACATTTACTCTGCATGCGTATGCCAGACACACCTTGTTCTGGACAGCTCCTTGACAGAAGTCTTCCTCTCAGGGGTGTGCTTTCTAAATATCAATCCTGGCGGCAGTCTGTCTGCCCACCTGTGACTATGCAGGTGCTTTCTTTCACCAACTCTCTCCCTCTGCAGGGCAGCAGCCTCCCTGCCTGCCTGTGATCTGTCCCATGCCAGGGCTTCTCTTCCTTGACCTCCCTCAGCGGAGGCCACTCTCCTCAAGGCCGCCCGCCTGCAACCATGCAGACCTCTCTCAGCAAACCTGTCCCTTTCCATAATAAACCTGCTTTTTAAATATAACTAACGTCTCTGCCTCGTGGAGAAACTCCCTGGGGAACTCGCCTCATGCCGCTGAAACGGGAGCTCTGGTGAAACCTTTCCCAGAGTGACCCCAAGGACCCCACACTCTACAGAACCTCATCATTTTGGAGATTAAATGTACACTTGTAAATCTGTCTTGTCCTGATTCACTGTTCTAAAATAAAGCATGAGCAGAGGCTAGAGATACCAAAAACAAAAACAAAACAAAACAAAGGGCCTCCCCGGTGGCGCAGCGGTAGAGCGCTGGGTTGCGAAGCTCCCCGCAGCCTCTGCAGCGCCGGTTCATTCCCCGGCTGCTCCCCGGCCACCGGAGGAGGGTCCCACATGGCGCGCAGACCTCTCCTGCCGCCCGCTGCTCCCCTCAGCAGTGTGCTTCGGTCCTTCTGCCTGCTCTGCTCCCCTCTCTGGCTCTGGTGAATTCTCTCACCTTCCCGCACTTCTGACTCTACCCAGTGCATGTATAAACAAACAAACAAATAAATAAATAAATAAAAATACATGCCTCTTTAAAAAAAAAAAATATATATCAATCCCCAGTAGTGCAAGGGGTAAAGTCTCAGCACTATGAAGCTATCTGCAGCCACTACAGCATAAGTTCAATCCCTAGCCAGGGAGCTACCCACATGGCGCAGCAGACCTCTCCTGCCTTGCCCGGTACTCCCCTCAGCAGTGTATTTCAGTAGATCTGTCTATTCTGCTCCCCACTCTGTCTCAGGTGAATCCTCTCACCCTCCCCCCAAGCCCCTGCACCTCTGGTCTACACCCCAGCTCTTACATGCATAAATAAATAAAATAAATCTTTAAAAATAAATAAATAAATACCAATCCAGAGACTACACTTCCAATAACCTCCCAACAGAGAGCTCTTAGACCCCAGGTTACTGTCCACTCACCAAAATCACCCCCAAATAGGGAAGTCCTTTTGCCTCATGTAGGGTAAGGAAAAATGTCAGGCTTTTCTGCCCTCCCGCCATCAGGATAGATGATGGATCCCTGCGGGCCTGAATGCATGCCTGATGGCGGGCACCTGGAGTAGGGTGTAGGCATAGGTAGATGGGATTCACCTGGGTTAAGACTGGGCTTTTAAGGGCGGCATCACAAGGACGCCAGTAGAAGCGAAAGAGAAGCCGAGAGAGAAGCAATAGAAGCAGAAGCCAAGAGAAGGCCAGAGAGCCCAGAGTGAAGACTTGCTGGGGGCTGGGAGGCCTGCCAGCCTCCAGGCCCCCCAGCACCCCTGCCTGCTGTGTACCTGGTAATCCCAATAAAAGCCTGCAAAAAGCCACTGAGGACTCTGACTCCTCCTTTACCCCGTCTGCTGGATCATAGAAAACCTGCACTGTGGTCTTCCTGCCCCTTACACTTCAGAACCTACGGAAATTATTTAAAATAGTCAACAACTAAGCCTGTAGAGCCAGCTTTACCCTTTTCTTCCTGAAGAAACAATACAGCTTTTGCCTCTAGTTCTCCTCATCTGCCTCTGACTGTCCCCACTGCTGACGCGTTCTCTTTTGGAACCGTCAAATGAATTAGCCCTTCGGGATCAGTCATCTGGATACGGGCAGCGAGGGGCGCTGAAAGGGCGAAGGACATGCCCAAACGGTTACCGGTCCCTGTCTGAGTTTTTCACCTGAACACAACTGCAAGACTACCCAGGTTCAGAGAACAGCAACACTGGTGTTTATCTAACCAACCAGGGAAACCAAAGAGGTTACTGAGGACAAAAAGGGCCGAGTACCTCACCCGGAGCAGCGTCCAGGGTTTCAAAGTCCTAAACGCAAACAATGCCAAGATGGCGCCCGCGGCAGCCAGACTACAGCCCGGAGCCACCTCATGAAGACAACGGGAGATGCTCACCAGGGGATGCTCCTGGCACTGCCGAGATGCCCCAGCCAGCACCAGACAAGCCACACTCAAGGCGGCAGCTCAGGGCCGAAGGACTCAACAAAAGGCCCCACTGGCGCAGCTCAGGGAGAGGCCGCCTTCCCCTCCGGGCTGTAAACGCAGCAAAACCAGCAACAGTTTCAGTCACTCAGCTACTTGCAAAGTCTCTCAACTTTTCCTCCTGAGTTAGGCGGCCAGAGGCCTCTCCTCGTCCTTCTGAGGCCCGCAACAGCCTTCTGGAAGACGGGCGATGCGGGGGCAGAAATGGCTGACGCAGGAATCACTGAAGACCCGAAAATGCTGAAATCCCCAACGCTGGATGCTGGGGGTGGCTTCTGCAGTCCCTTCTATTTCTTATCAGAGTCTCTATCCCAAATGCCATACTTTGTTTGCATTCTCCCCCCCTGGAGCGATCTATCCTCACCAGCAACCCCCTCCAGGGGGTGCCACCTATAATAGTCTTTGGTTTCAACCACCAGTTATAATCTCCTGATTTATTGGTGTTACTATGTCTAAATAATAAAACATACTCAAACTACATTACGTAATAGTCCTATATTTGGATGTAGTAACTTAATGAGATTTAGGATTATATCCTTTTAGGGAGTGTGTGAACAATTCTGATAAAGGCGGGGCCTCCCTGGTGGTGCAAGGGATTAAGTCTTAGCACTATGAAGCTATCAGCAGCCTCTGCAGCATGAGTTCGATCCCCGACCAAGGAGCTGCCCACATGGTGCAGCAGACCTCTCCTGTGTCACCCTCTGCTCCCCTCTGCAGTGTATTTCAGTAGATGTGCCTTTTCTGCTTCCTACTCTGGCTCTGGTGAATCCTTTCACCACCATCCCCGCATCTCTGGCCTGTACCTCAGTTCTTGTTTGTATAAAATAAATCTTTTAAAAAAAAGAAGGCATGAACATTTTTTTAAGTGTATGTAGATATATTTGGGCAAAGGGGTGGACTCTTAGTCCTACTCAACATCAATAAGTCTTTGATGCAAAACACTAGTTTTGAGGTGTTCATCTCACTCTCCTGTGATTCAAGGGGCTCTGACCCTTTCCAAGAGTCATTCTACCAATAGTAATTTGGAGACTAGATATGAGTGATGTTGGATAGTAAAATGACACACTGTGTGAGTATGCAAATATTCAGGGCCCACTTTGTATTTACAAAATCTGTAAATATATCTACTTTAATATAATTATTAAAGGAGACATTTTAGGTTATAAAAAATTGACAATGTCCTTTAAAAAATTAGCAGCTCAAAAGGCAATGTAAAGGAATAAACTGGTATGTAGGGCAACATTGATAAACTCTTTATTATGTTAGGGAATATTATATTGAGCAGAGTACCTACTAAATGATTCCATGATATCAAAAAGGTGGGCATGATCTTTCCAGCAGTGATGACTTCCAATGAAACCTGCCCCTTGTCGACTTCCTCCATTCTTCCCTAGAAGAGGAAACATAAGCTGTACCTGGTGCAGACTCCCAATTCCTACTTTGTGCATGTGAAATGTCCAGGATGCTATAAAATCACCGTCATCTTCAGCTGTGTACAAAGAGACAGAGAGGGGAGGGCGAGGAGGAGCAGCATAAATTAAGGAGCATTTCAGAGTGCTGGAAATATTCCACATGTTAATCTGGAGGTTATATACATTAATCCGTAGTCAGAGTTAGGAATGTTGCCACATGAATATACTTGACAAACTTTACCTGTGTAGTCCATCAAGTCCTCATCAATAAATCACGAAATAAACTTTGGTTAAATATTAATGGATGGGCCTCCCCTGGTGGCGCAGCAGTTGAGCGCTGGGCTGTGAAGCTGCCCGCAGCTTCTGCAGCGCTGGTTCGATCCCCGGCCGCTGGTGAGGGTCCCACATGGTGCGCAGACCTCTCCTGAGGCCCGCTGCTCCCCTCAGCAGTGTACTTCGGTCCTTCTGCCTGCTCTGCTCCCCGCTCTGGCTCTGGTGAATTCTCTCACCCTCCCGCGCTTCTGACTGTACCCAGTGCTTGTATAAAATAAATAAATAAATCTTTAAAAAATTAATAAAATAAATAAATATTAATGGAATCTGTAAAGTTATAAAATTCTGATCCAAAGCTTCATGACAGAAGGAACCATGCTGTTTCTCTTAGCACTGGCTACCCAGACCATGATATGTTCTACCTAGTACAGGGCAGGAGGAATGGAGGAAGAGATGAAGGAAATTATTTTAGCTGCTTTTCAGTTTATGCATTAAAATTAACATTGCCGGGCCTCCCTGGTGGCGCAAGGGGTTAAGCACTGCACTATGAAGCAATCTGCAGCCTCTGCAGCTTGAGTTAGATCACTGGCCAGGGAGCAACCCACATGGCGCAGCAGACCTCTCCTGTCTCACCCACTGCTCCCCTCAGCAGTGCATTTCAGTCCAGAATCAGAGACCAGAGGAGGATGCTGTGACTTTAAAAAGCTCTGACAGAAGTACCTGGAAGGAGAGATTTAATGCTTAACACCTGAGTCCAGAGAGGCCCACACAGGACGCTGCCTGTAGATTGCATCATAACTGAGTTTGTTTCAAAGACCTCCAGTTCACTAGATAAGTTCAGCTAAGCCATCCAACTAGATAAACGATGGAGACCAGACATCACACACCAGGAAACAAAGGGCCTCACATAAGGGCCAAGAGGTCTCTGTACCTAGCGCTTTGGCTATGGCAGGCACCCTGAAACTAGTCCCAGATGCAGCAGGTAGAGACAGAAGAAGCAGACTACTCCAGGTAGGCAGAAAGCAATTTTAATGAACAAGGGAACTTAAGCTGCATTGGCTTTGGCAGCAAGACAAGTAGTTTTCTATACCTCACCCCCACCACCCACACAAAATCTCCAAGTTTTACAGACTTTAACTGTATTTAGTCAAGTATACAATCCACAGGGGCTCAACACAATGCATATTTAAGGTTACATTCAGCAAAGAGCTTTTGAAAACACATTTCCAGGGGAAGGGGGAATGGGCAGCCTCCAGTTACTCCAGGTCCCAGCTCATGGGTCAATTGAGCAATCATGCCTTCTATTTTCACCAACACATCCTGTTATAGTAAGCAGGAAACCCTGTGAACCATTCTATTTATACTATACTTAGTCCATTAAATGTGCAATAGCATTGCTTAAAAAAATGTACATCCCCCCCATTAGAAAATTCTAAAATGCCAGCCATTTGCGCTGTTAGAAAAATGGCATCAGTAGAAGTCCAAGATCAATGTGCCAAGATTCTGTGGTGAGAGCTCTCTGATTCATCAGTCATCTTACTATGTTTTCACATGTTGAATGGGGCAAGGAAGCTCTCACGGATTTTTTATAAAGCACTTATCCCATTCACAAAGGATTCACCCTGGTAGTCTAGTGGCTACTCAAAGAAACCTCCAAATACCATCCCTTTGAGGATTCGGTTTTAACGTAAGAACTTTGGGAAGACATATTCTGTCTCTAACAGAACCCAGGGTACATGTGGAGAGAGTTAATATCAAGTCTGCCTCCATTTAGTCACTCTGGGTCCACCCAAGCCTTTCTTAAGTTTTCGGGGAATGGTATCAGGAGGACACAAAAAGATGAACGCAGCAAATCTGACAGGGCAGGCTCCAGGGAGCTCTTGGCCTGTACTAAAAATGGCCCATGTAGGCTAGGAAGTTCTGCTTCTTAACAGATTCCATCTGCATGGGCCTGCCAGGTTGGAAGAAACAAAGGGTTTCTTTCTAGGATTCCTTGCAGAAAGAGCAGAATAAGCCATAGCTTTAAGCCAGACTCTGTAAATCCTGGCTTTCTCTGGTTTTCTGTTTTCCTTTCCTTGTTCTTTATCATTTTTTTTTCTCCTTCGCACTTCCAGCCTGGTCTCAGCAGGCTGGTTCAAAGGAAGAACGAAGAGATGGTGCTGGAAAGTTATGCCAGAAAAGCGCAAAAGCGCCTCCCCGTGGCTGAATGACAGGATAGCAAGCAACACCAGCTTCTGCATCTACCCCAGGGAGAAACCCAAGGAAATAATTAGTGGGAGATGTGAGCTCTGGGTATTATTATTAAGGTCTGTGGCATTTCTTTAGACCATCTCATTTCTTTAGCTCCAGACTATGAGGTCATAAGTACAGAGAAAATATAGACTCAGGATAGCCACAGAAGCTTTTAAAGCCATGAATGTATTTTAGTGTAAACACTATCCTATGTAATCCCTTTTACTTTGTTGCTTAAAGTCATCAATTATGTTAGAAAGATTGTTTTGTTTAAGTATAGGACAGGGAACTAATGTTTTAATCAATATGCAAATCAAACCATCTCTACTGGCATTGTTAATCTGGAAGAAATTACTGTGTAGAGAGTGATAAGAAGGACATTTAGTCTATACTTTCAAATGGGATTTGATCATTTCAAAGTTATTCGCTGACAGAACAATGAGTTAATCACTTTTTTTCCCCTCGATATGCTTTTAGAAGAAAAATCCTGAAATTTGTAGGGATTTCTGATGCCTGGAAAGCATGACACGTAAGGGTATATTTAGCAAATAGGGTGACTTAGCTCAGGGTAACTGGCAGGTATAGAATTATAATTTGCATGCCAGGTATTTAAACTGAGATAGTTTTGATCAGGTTGAATATACGGTGAGTAGAAGAACTCCTTTTCCAAAAAATAAGATGGAGAGAGTCTTTGGAGAATGGCCTCACTAAATTGGTAAGTCAGCTTTCTCCGGATTTTGGTGATTTCCCCAGTTCTTCCATAATTCCTTAGTGCTCTGGCCATTTTCTGGTACGTCATGGTCTTCCGGTTGCCTTTTCTTTTCCCCCAAAGTTGGGCAAGTTTTTCTTTGTTTTTTGATACAAACTGAAAGATGCCTTTGGCTTTGTCTATCCACTGAATACAAGATGCCATTTCGGGGTTGCTCAGGGATTCGTGCAGGTATTCAAACAGGCGGAGCTTCTTCCTGCCTAAAATGGAGGAAAACAAGGTCATATGCTGAGGGGCCTGAACACAGAAGACATCCTTAGGAAGGGCTTGTAGAGGCACTACAAAAAAAAGTTACAAAAGTTACCCCTACTTACCTTGTCCTCAGGACTTGAAAGTCAAGGGCCTATTAGACTTATTGAGGTTTCAACTGGACTTTTCTCTGTTGGAGAAGTTGCCAAAAATTTTGTGCTGTCCTGCACTGGAAAAGGGAAGCATGGAGCCTCTTACCCAAGTCTCCATTTATCATGTGGTGAGTCTTTTTTTTCTTCTTCTTCTTGTGTTAAATCTGCTAGTTTTATGTCATATGTTAACCTTTCTGCAGAATAACAAAACTGAGCAAAATGAACTGCCAAGTTGACTGGTTTTAAAAAGAAGTCGTTCCCAGACAACAAGTCACTGAAATGTGCTTTATTCAAATAAGTTAAGTCAAAAGCAGTAAGGGTCCTGAATGCATTTTGTAAAATGCAAAACAGTGTGCAAATATAAGCGAAATCAATAACAAAGACTTACATAAAAGTGCTTACTCTGGGTTTGCATAATGACTTAAAAAATAAATAGGAAAACTGGATATGCCAGAATAGCTTCATGACATTTTGACAGAATTTCTGAGCAATGACCATGGGCATTGATAGTTTTCATTGCTGTGAAGTAAAAAATGCTGTCAGAGTTTCTTTCTTTAGAAGCACAGCCTCTATTGCAAAATAACTGGACAGGAAATCTGGGAGGAGGATTTGTTGGAGATTTTTTTTGTTCGATTGATTGGATTTTTTTTAATGCCTAATAGAGAATGTAGGTGACAGTCCATTTTGGGACTTCTGAATTAATTGGCCTCTAAATAGTGTCCCACCAGATCTGCCAGTAGCGAAATACTCTGCAGCCAAATTCCATTTTCCCCCTGAGAAAGTAAAATAGTGGATTCCCGAACTGCTCTAAATGGTCTCTGGGGAGTAATACTCTTGCATCAATCATTATTCATGCTGAAACCTCAAAGGTTTTTACAAAGATTATCTTTTGGGTTATATTATCTTGAGTGTATGAATTGAGAAATGAAAGGGACTTACCAAAAACACAGCATGAATTAAAGTCACAGCCTTAAACAACTCTCTGCCTCTCATCCAGTGGTTAAATCAATAATAAGAGATCCTCATCTTTTTAAATGTTGCTTACAATTTTGAGAAATTGTCTAAATTTTTATATTTAAAAAGGTATTATTTGCTCATGGTAAAAAAATTCAAACAAGTACAAAGTGAAAAGTTCCTGTCTAGCCTATGTTATTTTTAGGAAATGCTTTTTTCTTTGCATACACAAACCTATGATTGAAAAATCAGAAAAAGGCATCATGCTATTTTGTGCTTCTCCCAGTGAATAGCATATAAATAAATAAGAAATCACAAAACAATAATAGAAATTAGTGATAGATGAAATAGCAAACTGTTGACAATTGCTTCACTTTTGGGAAGAAACACTTTTACTTATTCTTTAGATTCATTGAAGAGTTTGAATTCTTAATAATGTACATTATTACTTTTGAATTATACAATTAAAAAACATTAAAACAAAAAGTAAAATGTATTTCAGTGCTCTTTCTGCATCAGTATGTAAGGAAAGCCTTCTTGTCTTTGAACAGCTATCTGTTCTTTTTATGCTGGTGCTATTTCTTTCCCCAAAATGAATGCTTATATGACTTTGAAATTTCATTCTTTCCAAATGCATCCCTTTTCAGATGGAAGACTGAGCTCTAAAAATAGAAAACGGTGGATATACCCCTAATACAAAGCTTCACAACACAAAACAACCCAAGAAAAGACACTAGCTTCACCATCTGGAATGAATTAGCAGCAGTTAGTCAGTTAGCTATAAAAAAAAAATAGGTGACAAACTAAACAACTGGACAGAAGGAGAAGTGTTATTCTCATTATTGAATTACTACCTAGTTCAACATCCAATAATCAATGATACGTATTTTACCTATGTGACTTGTACAATTAGAATGTTACCACATATTTATAGTTATATGATTCTAGGATACAGTATGCTGTTGTACAGGAACAAAACTTATTTTCCCCAAAATAATCATTTTTATTAATAATCAAAAGTGAAGGTTATTTTTAATAATTATAGATAAGATTTAATTTATAATTATACAAACTTATAATTTGTACATATAATAAATTATACAAATTAAAAATAATTTATAAGTAAAATTTATAATACATGTTATTTATAATAATTATAAATAATGAAAAGTAAAGGTATTTTTAAAATTATATTATAAAATGAATGGAATACATTTTATACATCTCTGTACCTTATACACTAACAAGTACGGTAGGCAAATATCCCAATTTTATACCTTCACAAGCACTGCAATAAACATTCTAATGCATGTATACAGACACACACACACACACACACACACAGTATTTTGAGAAATATCCATAGTGTCAGTCTGTGAGCACAATGCCTTACATGAATTTTCTCATTTCATTTTTACAACAATCTTACACTATCCATACAATTTCATTGAGTAAGGGAACTGAGTAGAGAAAATTAAATGATTTGCCCAGGCTGACACAATTGACCTAGAGCTCACAATCACTCTCTTATAGTCCCAAAGAGTCAGAAGATATGAACAGTTAAAATTATGATAGGAATTGCCAAACTACCTTACAAAACTGCACCAATCTGCCCTCACACCTAACAGAGCATGAGAATGTGGATGGTACCCATCCCAGGCAACAGGTTACTCTCCTGCTTTCACATCTCTGTTTGGTGAGGTCATGATCATCTTTAAATTTATGAAATCAGAATATCAAATTTATGAAATATCAAATTATGGAACTTCATTTTTATTGAAACAGAGAAGATAATTTATAGAGGAAAGCTCCTCCTCTACTTAAAATATATACGATTATTATGAATACAGATGTGAGTGAGGTGACACTTTAAACTTCTCTATGAAGCGATGGAAGACTCAGCAAAGAATGGTTTGAAATGGGAGAGTTAATGATTCTCAACAGTGGGAAGAGACTCTTTTGCAAATGCAATTCTAAACTCAGATGATATCCCCATGAAAGCTGCTTTGAGGTAGATTTGATGGGTCACACACATACCTTTTCCTCCCTTTGACTGGAGAACAGCAGGTGGTGTCAGCTGGTTTTCTGGGATGTTCTGCAGGGATTGATGAATATTTCCTTCAAAATAGAGATCTGCAGCACTGTTCTATGGGAAATAATGCAAGAGGACATTAAGTGGACTTAATGTGTGACCCCTAGTTAGTTAAAGTCAAAAAGAGGCAAAAGGAATGCTGAGCATCTTCCAAATTCTAACAAGCACCAGACTCAACTGCAGCCAGCTAACATCCAGGACAAAACTAGCATCAAATCCACTTCAGGAGAAGACTGAGGGATGGAGGGTAATCTCTGACTTAATGAGGAGTTCCTTATTCTCCCCTCCCTAGAAGGAGAGGTGGTTGCTTTTCTCCACCCCCCACTTCATAAATGCCTAGTGGGAAACAAAGATCCAAAAGAATCATTAATAGACTTCCATTCTTGCATCAGATGCCCATCTGGCCAAGAAAGGGTAAGGAAAGATGGCAGCCAGTTGAGGGCAGAGTCAAGCACAGGAACAAAAGGAAGCAGTCTAAGGTCAACCAGGACAAATGTCAACAGTCCCCATGGTTAATTGTCACTGTGGAAAGGATTGGGCTTGAACCGTTTTCCATACCTCATACAAGAAGCTTGCACGGCAGGCTAGAGATCCATAACCCTAAGAGGCTTGTGTTGTGGGCTTGGGAATGGGAATTGAAGTGGAAGTAAAGTTGGCAGATTTGGCAAACAAAAATATTGGGCTTCCTGTATTTTACCCAGCAGTTCTAAGTGGAGGTGAATGAAATATAGCTGGAACTAAAACTCCCTCTTCAAAGAACTGTCTTTTTTTTTTTAAACTTCCTAGGAATAATATATATATATATGTATATATATATATATTATTTATTTATACAATAGCTGGGGTACAGGCCAGAGGCGCGGGAGGGTGAGATAATTCACCAGAGACAGAGACAGAGCCAGGAGCAGAACAGGCAGACAGACCGAAAGCACTGCTGAGGGGAGCCACGGGAGCGACAGGAGAGGTCTGCCACGCCATGTGGGAATCTCCCTGTCTGCCCGGGAATTGAACCCGTGCTGCAGAGGCTGCAGACACCTTCACAGAGCTGCGCTCAACCCGCTGCGCCACCGGGGAGGCCCCAAAGAACTCTCTTGAGAAGCCCAGACAAAACAATTTACAAGGGCAGAGAAAGGATATTTGACATAGCACAGTTGAAGGTAATAATTGAAGAAATGACATAGAATATGTTCAACCAGTTCTGAGCTCCATAGGAAAAATGGAGTGGACTAATACAAGATGGTAGGTAAAGCCAGTGCAGGGGAACTTTGGGCCTTTGCCCTGTAGTTGTTCTGCACTGGATGGACTGGAAAGCAGTAATGGGTCCTCCCTGGTGGTGCAAGGGGTTAAGCACAGTACTATGAAGCTATCTGCAGCCTCTGCAGCACCAGTTGGATCCCCAGCAGTCAGGGAGAAACCTACATGGCGTAGTACACCTCTCCTGTCTTGCCTGCTGTTCCCCTCAGCAGTGTTTCAGTAGATCTGCCTGATCTGCTCCCCTACTCTGTCTCAGCTGGCTCTTCTCACCCCCCATACCTCTGGCCTGTACCCCAGTTCTTGTATTCATAAATAAATAAATCTTAAAATAAATAAATAAATAAATAAATAAAAAGCAGCAATGATATGAGAACCCTAAAAATACCTCCTCCTTAATCACTCAAATAAGCCTAAAGCTGGGGGACAAGCAATGACAAAGGGCAGTTTCTTCTTGACATCATCGCTGCTAACCCCTCCTGTCAGTGAGCACTTTCAGTCAATGCTGTCTTAAAGCTGGGCTTCCGCCAGCAGATGCCAAGTGGAAGGTTGGTGTGAACAGAAAAATTGCCTGTTATTAAGGAATGATGTAAATAAACATGTCACTCACTATTACGGCTCTCCAATTATAGACGGACTCCTCCGGAGGTGACATGGAATAACAGCCGGAATTTCCTCTGACATGAGAATAGTGGTTGATGAAAGTCAGGTAATTTTTGTAATCTAATTTAAAAAGAGAAAGAAACTAAGACAAAGTTTGCATTTGTGTGTGTATGCTTATATCAGCTCATTTATTGCCTACAATATCCTGTATAAACTATCATCAACAGGCTAATAAGAATACTTGTTCTTCTAAGTAGAATTTTTCTGGAACAGGCAGAATGTTTGTAGTAAGATGGCTTGAAAAGCCTTTTCTGAACAGCTCAAGTTATCTGTCTATTTGGTAAGTGTTGGCCAGATAGATTTCCCAGCAGACAATTATGTCTTTGCATTCCTGGATAGGATGTCATGCTTGGGTTCTCTGATTTTAAATTTAAGGGATGCTTTGGGATGCTTTTTACCATGGATAGGAGTAATCCTAAATGCATAGGGTAAAAGATCTCTGTTATGTCCGTTATTCTTACATGGATATGAGCAGAGATATGAGCGTGGATATGAGCAATTCTTACATTGGATGACCAGAGAAAGAAGGGGATAGACATCTCTACCTGGGGAGTACTGAAGATCTCCACTTGAATGCTGCTTCAGCACCTCAAAAGCATCTTCAAAGGCTTGACCCAGTCTGTCTTGTTCAACACAAGCCTGTTAGAACAATGGCAGAAATGGAAAGCTACGACATTACTGAATGAATCTGATCTTCCTGACATAAAAGAGATTCTCAACCACGGCGATACTGGCATTTAGGTTGGTTAAGTCTCTATAGTGACTGTAGTTGCTTGTGTTTAGCAAAGTTCCTGTCCTCTGCCCACTAAAGCCAGTGCACTCCCACATTTGGGACAATCAAAAGTATCTCAGACATTGTCAAAAATACCCTGGGAAACAAAACTGACCCCAGTTGACCCACTGCTCTGTAATAGTCTTTAGACAACAGTTTTCATTCTAAACTATAGTATTAAACATACTTGTAAAATTTTAGCAAGATGTTATATAACAGGAGATTGATTTGAAAAATCGAATCAGCTAATATTCATAATTGAACAGAATCTGAATTGTTCACTTAAAAACAAAACACTCCTAATGTCCAAAGCATGCCTCTGAGACCTAAAATTAGAACTGTTTTGCAAACCATTTCATGCTCCTATTGATCTGATCCAAATATTTTACTTCAAAATGGATGAGTAAAGATTTTAAAATGTCAACTTACCATGCTTCATTAACAAATTGACAATTCTGAAAAAGATTAATATTTAAAAAATTAAATACAATCTATGTTGCCTCTATATTAAAAGATCAACTCAAAATATTTGCCATTATTTTTCATAAACTAAAAAATATTTGCCATTATAAACTAAAAAAATTGAGTACTCTTTGATGAATACAAAATTTTGTTCCACAAAATTTCCTACAAACATTTTTTTGCATTTCTACCATTGCGAAACTTAAATGTGAATAGTTAAGCTGAGTCAGGGACCCAAATGCTTAACTTACAGAATATGGAAATAATTCATAAGAATTTCAAGCATTTCAAAGTTATTTTACATATTTAAAAACTCTGAAAATCAAAATCTTTTTTATCTTAGCATAACTCTCAATTTATTGAAGTGATTAAAATATATATTTTAAAGACCCATTTATCTATGCACATAAGAACAGTTGCACACAAGAACTGCGATGCAGGCCAGAGATACGGGGGTGAGAGGATTCACCATAGACAGAGTGGGGAACAGAACAGGTGACTGACTGAAATTCACTGCTGAGGGGAGCAGCGGGTGAGGGGAAAGGTCTACTGTGCCATGTGGGTTCCTCCCTGGCCGGCCGGGGATCGAACTTGTGCTGCAGTGACTGTGGATAGCTTCATAGGTTGCATCTTAACCCCTTGCGCCTCCAGGGAGGCCCCAATTAAAATATTTTTTGCTCTCATAAAGTCTGAGAGCTGAAGACACCCTTTTTCTCTTATGAAATGTAGATTTACATTATAAATAAAACATTCCCGGGGCCTCCCCGGTGGCGCAGCGGTTGAGCGCTGGGTTGCGAAGCTGCGCGCGGCCTCTGCGGCGCCGGTTCGATCCCCGGCTGCTCCCCGGCCACCGGAGGAGGGTCCCACATGGCGCGCAGACCTCTCCTGCCGCCCGCTGCTCCCCTCAGCAGTGTACTTTGGTCCTTCTGCCTGCTCTGCTCCCTGCTCCGGCTCTGGTGAATTCTCTCGCCCTCCCGCGCTTCTGACTGTACCCAGTGCATGTATAAACAAAACAAAGAAACCAGCAAACAAATAAATAAAGCATGCCTCTATAAAAAAAAAAAAAAAAAAAAAAAAAAAAAACATTCCCTACTCAACCTGTGAACTCTCTAAAATCCCAAGAACCCTGATCTACAATTTATGGAACTACTTTCTTACCCATATAAATAATTTGGGTTGTTTTAAATAAACAGTTATTGCACAGACCCATACTGAATGCCCTGTTTATTTTTTATCCCCTGCCCTATAGAAATGCACACACACAGACACACAAAAAAATCCACATAACAAGAGCTTACCGTAGGCCCAACGTTGCTTTATCATTTTATTGCGCACACCAAGCAAGTCTCTGTGTCTACAAGTTCTTAACATTTATTGGATAAACACAATGAGTTTACTCTAAATATTTAACACTGCACAAGAAAATGGGATTGATATCCTCCAATACTATTATACGTATCCATAATATCAAACATTCAAATTCTATTCCGCTTTTTGACTTAAGATGGTCACTATGTGAGGTGATGAATGTGTTAATTTATCTACTGTGGTTATTCTGCAATAGAAACTTATGTCAAATCCTTAAGGTACATTATGTACTTTAAAACTTACACAATGATATATACCAATTTTATTTCAATAAAACTGGGGGAAGAAAGAAATATAGCCTTCCAATATGGGAGATGTTGAACAATTTAGCAAAAATGTAGAAATAAAAAAGTTCATAAATCACTTTCTAATTTGACATATGTATATGGTACCAAATGACTATTACCAGTTTACACATTTCTAAAGCCTTATCAATGACTGTCAATTATGCTTTGACTAGTAAAGAGAAAGCAAATTCAGGAGCATGTACTATTTCAACTATTCTCTTTGACAAAAATACCCCACAAACTTATCACAACTCTTAAAAGTAGCAAACCCAAAAAATGGCTTGAGCAAACCCATCAGAAAATAGCTTGAAAATGTTATTTAAAAGTATATAAGTATAAAAGTAGCAAACCCACCAGAAAATAGCTTGAAAACATTTTTGTTCACTTTAATTGCTTAATATATCTTCTATCAGAATAAGCAATCGGATAAAAAATACTCATCAGGCCACAGGCGAAAATTAACAATTATCACAAGATATTTTGAAAAACATAACTAAACACTTACCAGGAAGACGCTTCAACCCTTTACAACGATGTTTCATTAATACCAGAATCGTTAAGACAGAACTGTCAAGAACTCACTGGCAGAGTTGCATTAAATAGATGTTTTTAAGGAAGTGCTACAAAAGGGGATTTTTTTTAAAAGATACAGTGCCTTCATAATTTCTATTTCGCGATGGGGCCAGGAGACACCAGGGGCTATTATTTTGAAGTGGCACACAACAGTTCGTATCCTAAGGGCCAAAGCGTTAGGGAAAAAAACCCAGGCCCCCTCTTCATTCTGACCTCCCCAAATTGTCCTCCCAACTACTTTACCCCGACTGTGGTTCCTCGAACACCTTACTTAGAGATTTTTAAAGGCTTGGATGCTTGCCCTGGTCATTTGCAGCTCTTCATTCCAGCTTTTTTCCAGCTTTAGCCTTATTTTCCACCACTCATTTCTAAGAGGAGGAAATGGAATCTATGCTATGGTCTTCTCTTCACACCAGAACCCATCAGAGGCTCCAGAATGGCTTTGAGAGGCTCATATGGGTAATGATCTGGTTGGACGTGCCTTATGTTCATACATTTGCAGAGCAGGTCCAGTTTTCTTATTCAACATCGAACGTTTATTTGGGATGGTTTTGGTGGCTCTAATGGGTTTTTCTTTTACAGGGCAGGGAGAGGAGCACCCCAGAACCCCTAAACCTGCCCACTCGAAATAGGTTCTGCCATCTGCCGCATCAAGACAAAACATACTGTAGTGCATAAGACCTTTAATGGAGAGGAATTTTAATACAATCTGTGTGCAAAATGAAAAGACAAAGAATAAAGTTTCCAAATCGGGCACCCAAAGTTACCCATCCTTTCATGGGTAAATGCCCAGCCAAACAGAGTTGGCCCAAAGCAGGGCCACTGAGGCTGCCACAAGTCTAAAGCACCTTCTGGTGGGACCCATAGAAAAGGGTCAGAAACAGCCAGACAGCCTGGAAGGAAAAGAGCAAAATCAAGATAAAAGCCGCCATTGTTAACCAGCCCAAGGGTCTCTCACCCACATCCGTTTCAACCAGTCCAAGACCAAGAAGCAAGCGCAGTTACTTCACATGCCTCTCTGCCCCATGTGCCTACTCCAGGTCTTCTTGCTCTCCATCCTGCTTTCCTTCTTCAGTCTCCTCTTCAGCTTCTTCTCCTCCCTCCTCACCTCCACCCTTCCGTGGGTGGGGCAGGAAACCTGGAACCTCCCCTTTTCCTGGGGACCTCTTACACACTTCTAGGGTACTCCCTCCACCTAGAAGGCTTCCATCCGTCTGTCCTTTGACCCATTCCATCTCACCTGTCCATCAGAGTCTGATCTAGAATCCACACGTGCAGATAGAAATAACCTTCCCCTCTGAAACATCAGTCTGCATCGCCCTTAACTAACTGTAACCGTCTGGGCCTTTAACAGCTGTCATATTTGGCCAGGGGGAAAATCGCCTAAGCAATTTTTGTAAATCTTGTGGGTGGGGAGAGAGAGCTTGTCTGTTTTGCATCTTTGAATCTGAAGTCACCTTTGATATGGGACTATTGTTATAGACTTACTACTTTTTCATCCTATTTGTTATGCAAATATCAACATGCAGCCCTTCTTCTGAAATGCAGATGTTATAATATGTGTGCAAAACCCTAATTGATAATGTTGAGGAGCTTTTAAACGGCACCACCCCTGTCTACACCCTTTTTAAGTCACTTAATTTCATTTGGTTAGGTTCATTCACTCAACAAATACATTTATTACTATACACTTTTCTCTGTTGGGCACTGTTCTGAGTCTAGAAGTTACAGCGTGAGCAAGTTCTAATGAGAAATATCTAGAAAACAAACAACAACAACAACAACAAAAAAAAAAAACTAGAGAAATATCAGATAATAAATGCTGAGAAAATAATAAAAGAAAGGAAGAGAAATATGAGGCCAATGATTATGAAAATTCTCTGGGGGGAAAATATGTGTGAGTTGAATCAAGGATAAGAAAGAGTGAGAAAAAGACACAGATGCAAAGATATGGCCAAAAAGTCATATAAAACAACATGTACAAAGAGCCTTAACTGAAAAAAAAAAAAAAAAAAAAAAAAGAACGTCATTTATTCAAGACACAGAAAGGTCAGGAACTGGAGCCCAGTGAATTTGGAGTTCCAAAAGCAAAGTAAGAGCAGAAGGAGGAGGGTTCAGATCACTCAACATGTAGAAACTTTAGGAATGAAAAAATAGGCATGTTTTTCCTATTTATTTCTCTATATTTTTTACATCATTGTTCCTTTTTATACAGTTTGCTTTCTCTTCTCTGTCGTAGTCTCCACAAAATTCCCACCACCGAGTCACCTTTGAACCAGTCTCTTGTGCTCTTCCCGCCCCTGTTTTAATCCCTTTGCCTCCTGCTGAAGGTCTGGGATTTATAGCTGCCTGCTAGTTTTGTTGTTTGTTGGTTGATTGGTTGTTTTTTACCTCTGATCTTTTATTTGGTTCCTCTATAGTCCTCCTCTAAGTATCTGAACATCACTTATGGTCGTGGTTACCTGCTTATCCCCATTTCACAGATGAGGAACCTAAACTGAGACTCAAAGACATTTCAGGTTTTTCCTAAAATCCAATGACCAGCGGGGAGAGGGAGGGTTGGGTGGGGCTGGATCCACACCCAGTGGCTCTCACAGCATCTCACAGGCTCTCCCTGCACCCTGGTGTCTGCGCTCCGGCTTGCATCTGACCAGGATTCTGGTCCTGAGAGCAGTTTCCATAGCACCCCGCACTCGGCATTCCTGTGGTAGTACAGGCTTGCTATGTCTTTGAAATGAACGAAAAAACAAGCGAACTTTCTAAAACAACGTTTTTCCAACTGGGTGTTTCAAGAGTTTTATTCTGCAAGATGTTAATAAACGGAGCCTGAAAAAGAGTGATTGGAAGCTGGGTTCCCTACTTAGAATGTCTTCAGAAAAGCTAATGAATACATTGATGCTTTTTTTATTTTTAAAGATTTATTTATTTGTGCATACAAGAATTGAGGTGTAGGCCACAAGGGCAGGAGGTGAGAGGATTCAGCAGAGACAGAGTGGGCAGCAGAATAGGGGAATCTTCTGAAATACACTGCTGAGGGGAGCAGCAGTGGAGGCAGGAGTGGTCTGCTGGAGAGGTGGAGCCTTGGTCGCCTCCCTGGCTAGGGATAGCTTGCGGCTGGCGATAGCTTGATAGCACTGAAACTTTAACCCCTATGGCACCAAGGAGGCCCAAATACTGCTTTTTTATTCAGTTTAATGGTATCTGCCTTTTTAGTGTTTAGTCCAATTTAGTAATTACTAACATGGTGAAGTTTAAGTCTATCATCTTGCTGTTTGTCCTATTTACTTTTTGCTGCTTTGTTCTTCTTTGCCTGCTCTCTCTTGGATTTAAAGTATTTTTATTATTTCATTTTATTTCCTTCATTAGCTTTTTATAATGTGCTGACATATTATGACAGGCTGTACCTCTGTGATTTATTTTTATTGGGTGTTCCAGGGATTATAATAACATTCTTAATTTGTAATAGTCTACCATAAATTGTTATACTATTTCATAAATAAGACCTTATCACAGTTTAATTCCATTTATATCCCCACATCCTTTATGCTACTCTTGTCATATTTTTACTTCTACATATGTTATTATAATAGATTGTTTATGCTGCAAGTCAGTTAATCATTTTTTTTTTAATTTTTATTTATTTATAAAGAGCTGGGGTACAGACCAGAAGCACAGGAGGGTGAGAGGATTCACCAGAGACAGCAGGGAGCAGAACAGGCAGACTGACTGAAATACACTGCTAAGGGGAGCAGCGGGTGAGACAGGAGAGGTCTGCCACGCTGTGTGGGTAGCTCCCTGGCTGGCCTGGAATCAAACCTGTGCTGCAGAGGCTGCGGACAGCTTCACAGCACTGCGCTCAACCCGCTGCACCACTGTGGAGGCTCATAGTTAAGCATTCTTATCCTTGGTTTCCAGCTGTGGCTTCCTATCTCCTATCTGTGTAAACATGGACAAGTTACTAAAGCTCTCAGTTTCCTCTCAGGAAAATGTGGATAATGATTTTATTTGCCACATAGAGTTATGGTGAAAGTCTGAGTTCATGTAATATCCATTTGGACAGTCCTGGCATTGAACAGATTTTCAACACGTGTTAAGTCCTGACTTAAAATTTTTCCCATTTTGCAAATGAAGGTTAAGTGACTTACATGGCCGGCCCAAGGACATTAAGTGACTTACTGAAGGTCACCCAGTTAGTGAGTGGTAAAAGGGAAGGTTTTTAAACCAGTTCTACCTGACGCCAGCTCAAGACTTTTAACCATTTAACCAGAACTGATTCCTTATCTATGGACTGAGAATAAGAATTGATAGAGGGCTCTTGAGAGGTTTTATTGAGATAGTGCAGTCTGGTAATCAATCCCTATGCTAGTAGCTGTGCTGATCCTGCTTCACCACACCAGGGTCCTATAGTGTATTCGACCTGGCAAGTGACAGAACCTGGATTAATGCCCAGCCTTCCTTTACCATGTCTGGTTCCTCTTCCCAGTAACTGGGTTGCAAAAATATTCTCCATAAATTCTATATACTTGCTATATTTGCTTTCATAACTTCTTCTAGTGTTCATATCAAGGAAGGAAACTCATCTGACACAGGACTGGTAGGAAATCACCCAGCATCACAGAGAAGGAGGAGACAACATTATCTACTCAAGGTCTACTGGAGGTGCTGAAGGCGGAGTGATTTGTGAATCCCATGTTCTGAACCATGACTGATCATGTGCGAGGGCACTCTCTGGACCGCCTAAACAACACAGTGCTGATGACTTACCGGTGTATCTGACTGCATTCTAGGCAGAGATCGGAAAGCTAAGCCATAACCCAATTCTTTAAAAGTCTTTATTTTGAACTTGAAAGGCAAGGATGGCTCCCCTATAGCTCTCTGACTTCTGGAGCCCCTAATCCTAAATTACTACTGGGGTAGGAAAGAGAAGAGGAATCACTCCTCCCTCCTCGTACTGGTTTCATCAAACTTGTTTTCACTTTCTGGTTCACTAAGAAGACGG